CCCATATTTTTTGTTCCTTATAAAATGCAATCTTACAAAGGAGGCCCGGCTTCCCTGCCTGTCAGCCACAGCCTGATCAAATTGCGCTGGCTAGTTGTTCCCGCCCACCGCTGCGCACCAGGGAGTCGGAGGAGGCAGCCTACGCGGAAGTCAGTCGCTCCTCCGGGCCATCGTCCGGCTCTGGGATCTGGGTTAGGCTAGTCTAGCCTAGAGAGTCCGCCAGCAGCGTCACTCAGGCCAGGCACTTTTCTCCAATCCCGTCCGAGAGGGGAATGGCGCCCAGAGAGATCTCCGCTAGAGTCAAACTGTGGTGGGGGGTCAGATTCTCACTCACCTCGCCACCAGTCAGTTTTCGTGTACACCTCTGTCCGTCCTTTTTTTTTTCGACTCCGTTCTCCCGTTCCCAGAGCTCGGCGCTCCCAGAGCTCGGCGCGTCTCTCCTTGCTGAGCCGCTGTGGAGATAGCCGGCCGCCGCACGGCGGGAAATCCAAACCGGTTTCCGATGGCGCGGAGTCGAGCCTCCACACCGAGATTTTTCTGTTCCTATTTTAGCACCAGGACTGTATTCCAAGTTGGATTCTCTCAGCCCAGTTCGTTCCTGAGTCAGCAGAGCATATCTCTACTGATTCGTGTCTCCCTAGTCCGCATTATTTCTGGCCTCTGAGCCGAACCTTTCAGAGAGCCTCTGGTAGTTGCTGTTGTCTGTCCGCCATGTTCTCTGGTCTCCCCAAGCTTTGGAAATCTTAACAGAAAGAAAGGCTTTCCATCCAAATGTGAGCTCATTGTATAACGACTGCGCAGATAGTCACATTATCAACTAAAGGGCCTAAGCTTTGCCCGGACTTGGAAGTTGAAGTCATCCTATCTATCAACAGCGATACCACTTAATAACTGTGATCTATAAACCTATTAACGTTAAGCAGGAACACTGGCCTAGGGAACAGAGTATTCTCAAGTAGAAAAAAGTTTATTTACAGTTTTAATAACAAAATTTAATACCACTTTTTAGAAACAGGTTAGAAAGGTCACATGAGAAGATAACACAACAACTTCAACACTTCCTATCAATGTGGACTCTACAGAATTTGATAAAAAGTCATTGCTACAAATAAAACTGCATTTCTATGTCTTTATTTCATTATAAAATTTAAAAGTCAACACACAAAACCGATCACATATTTACTTTCTGGCAATATACTTCTTACACTTTAGGCCTAAAAAATTATGTGTATATATGTGAAATATATACATATATGCAAGTGTTTACCATGTTAATAAGTCTTAAAAGTATTTCATATGTACCATTTAATCTACTTGACATTTCCAAAATATTTTCACACAGAGTCCTTTGAAACTAAAGTAGATATTATATAAGTCATTATACAACCAAATGATAAAAAGAACAACCTTTTGATATTAAAAAAAAGCTTACCATCCAATATTTAAAGACAAATAATCATATTCCTAATAATGTGTCTAGACTCTAATTAGTCAATTCAAATCCTTAACTGATGGAGGATTTTTAACTAACAATGTACACCATATTCCCTCAACCTCCAAAAGATTAATTTCTGAGTTTAAAATATTTTAGATTTTAAATATTATATAATAAAAAGTTTAAGGCAGGCAATACAAGAGCCAAATTTTATGAACAGTAATACAATGCCAATGCTTTCACAAAAGCAAAAACAGACTGGGCATGGTAGCACACACATGCAATCCCAGCACTTGGGAGGCTGAGACACGAGAATCACTGTGAGTTCAGAGTTAACCTGAACTACATAGTGAGATCCTATCTCAAAGAAAGAAGAAAGAAAGAACTTTCTCTTTTAGAGAACATAATTTTAGTTTTATTTTGAAGTTTAAAAGTTCATTAATATCTTAAAACGGGATATGGTGAAAACTTTTAAATCCTTTCTTCTAGCCTTCTGAAGTAAGGCTACTATTCTACCAAGCTATCATTCCACTGCTACGGCTATCACTCTACATAGGCTATCATTCCACTATGCAACAGCACATGATAACATCTGTTTCTATGTATTATTTTAAAAAGAAATTTACATTTAAAAAATAAAACATTAATTTTAAAACAAAAACACCAAGCTAGGATAGTTTAACAATTAAAAGCCCAGGCTCTAATATCAGATAGCCTGGGCCAATTTCAGAACTCCTACATGTTTGATGAAGAGACCTAAACAAATTAAGTTCTCATTTAAATATACAGATGGTACTATGTCACTCACAGGGTTGCTCTAAGTATTTTATACGCAGTGACTCATTTAATCCCACCAAGAAACGGATACTGATAACACGGTCTTTCCTAAATAAGCTAAATGATATCTGGGGCAGTCAAATAACTTGCCCATGGCACAATGTGAAGTCAGAATGTCAGTTCAAGGGGTCTGGATCCGAGTCAGGGGGCTCTCTCACGTACACCTCACTGTGGAGCCTGCGACAGCCTCCTGAGGAAGAAGTGGGGTGGTGTGACTAACGAAAAGAAAAAGAAGTCAGAGGAAGTGAGAGCTTAGTGGCACAACTGATACCACGAAAACTTCAGGAGAATTCACTAAGTTCATGTAACATGAGGTGCTCAAGGATTTTTCATGAAAAATGGTCAGCGTGAAGCTTTCTATCTGGGGAGGATTTTAAATAGGACCAACATGGCAAGCATCAGCACACACAGGAGCTGCAGGACTAGGAATCTCACTTGTTGCCAAGGAAACTCATCTTATTAAGATCACTTAAAAGTATAGCACCAGATACACTACAAATCAAACTGTTACCCTGGAACTACAAGGGAAGTGAACTCCTAACCATCCTTGTCCAACTGCTAGCCATACGGTGCTGAATACAATTCCAATCCTGCTCAGTCCAAGAGGGTCCTGGGAAAACTCTCTTAAAATACAGCATGTCACCTTTGCAAAAACACCCCATTAGAGCTTCAATATATCAGACGGAGCAGCTGGTACTAAGAACATGTTAGGGTAATTAAGTCTTGGAAATTCCCTCATTAAATGGCAAATCTGGAAGTCTGTGTATCTTCTGAGGATTTGTTAAAGACAGCTTCTTAAATCACAATATTTCCTGGAAAAGAAGAGGTCCACAGCAGATGCACTTCACCTACTGAAGCAGGAGACCCTGGAAACTGGGCTACTTGAAATTGGAGATCTTAGAAAAAATAGCACTAGGGCCATTTTCCTTTCATTAAAGTTTGTCTCTGAAATATTTCAAAGTGGCAAGCCACAGAGGAAGAGATGAAACATAAAAATCATATATACTCTCCGAGATGCCATGTCCCCTGCTCATTCTTTTCACGACTATAATAGCAAAAAGAATAATGTCAATTTCCAGGTATGTAACCAAAAGAAGAGCAGAGTTCTTTGCAAATGTCTTAACATTACAGAGATGTTAAAATAAGAATACAGAACAGAGTTTTAAAAAACAGACTTTGTTAAAATAAATTCTGAGAGAACGCATTGTAAAACCCTTGAAGAAGACTCTTCACAGAAGTGGGCTGCCTCTGAAGTTTTTCTGTTAGTGAGGCTAATTTAGGAAGTGAGAGGAAAACAATGCCAGTAGTTTTCAAGGAACTAATGTTGGGGCTGACAGTCAGTTCTGATTTGGAAGGAACTAAGCTTTCCTGGCACGGTAAGAAGGAAGGGTCAGATCAACAGTCACAGCCATACAACCAACCACTGGCCCTGGCCAAAGACCACTACTGTACCAGCTCTGACTGTTCCAGTCATTGCCCTTAGCCTCTGCATCCAAAGCAGATTCAGAACTGCACACAGATGTGCCAGATCTCAGCAATGGAAAGGACAGAAGATTCTGTGGCAAAGTTTATCCATGAGAAGCACTATTCTGGCTTCCCAGAGATTATTATGGTCAAGAAATGGAAAGGCCAGAGAGGAAAAACTCATGTGCCCTCTCTGCAAAACCATATTCTAAAGAAGGTCTGGCAAGAAGAGACCTACCCAATCCTACTTCTAATGAATGTATGGAGTCAGAGGCATAGAGTGAGCCCTGATTGTGCGAGGACCAGAAGCACAACAGAGCAGACGCTAGAAATTCAAGGTCACTGTTAAATTCTAAAGAGCCACCTCTAACTTCTTAAAGCATGTACAGTATTTGCTGACTTAGCCAAGATAAGGGAAATATGAGATAAGGAGTCAGTATCCACAAAGGGAGATCCTGAGAAATGTACCAGGGAGTGAACACCAACTTGACTTAATGCAAATCTTCTTAAAGAAAAAACAGGAATTTGGTAGGAGAAGATCCAGCATGGATGAGGATAAGTACAAGAAGGGGACACTGAGGTTGGCTATTCCACGTTATCCTCTCTGAGAAGATAAATCATCGTAAGAACATACAAAAGCCGGGAACCTCTTCCTCAAGAGAAAGATACAATAATGCATAGGAAATTTTACTTTTCAGAGTCCTCTTGGGAAAGAGTACAGTGTATTTGTTTGAAATAAATATTTTTAAAGCCACTAAAATCTTTAAAATTAGCAGATCAGGTTTATAATCTTTTAAATACTTAAAAGTAGGAAATAAACATTGTATTTAAAGTCTTTTAAATCCTTAAAATTAAAATAGGAAATAAAGTAGTCCTTAAAAACATTAAGAGACACTGTTTAATAAATTTAGGTTAAAAGTTTACATCAGTAAATATTTAATGGAGGATCATCTTAATTTCAGATACTATTTTAGCAAGGAATCACAGTATAATCTATAAGACTGAAGCTTATATTTACCAAGGATTCTTCACAATTTTGTTTTCTAGTTAGGATAATTAATCTATCAGAAGTGTAGAAGGTGTGATTTTATAAATTTCATTAGAAATACACACTAATATATAAGAGTCTAACTTAATAACAATATTCCAAGTATTTGATGACGTTTCTTTTGTAGATTTCACTTGAAATTACATAAATTCTGAAATTAGTAAAACAAATTTTTAAATCAATCATAGTTATGATTTATTTCTTGAAAAGACTTACCTAAGAGGACAAATCCATCTGCTTCTGTGTCTGACACTGAAGGCTTTTTAGATTCTGGTGACTTTTTAAAGAAGTGAAACATTGCTGCTGCTACTGTTGCAATCTGAAACAGAAAAGCTATATAATGTCAAACTCAGAAGAAACTATAAAACTCTTACCCTTCTTAGTATAAACCCAAACATAGAGATACCCCAAAATTACTCTTAGGAATTCTATTGTCAAGACTTATGAGCCTTCTCTACAGTATCAAAAGACAACACTAGAAATTAAGGTACCTGGGCTTATAATCTAACATCTTGTGTGCCTTGAAATCTACAGTGCAACTTGTATCTCTAAAGGTTCACAGAATAATAATTTTAAAAAATCATTCCATGTAATACTAAAATAGTGAAGCTGGAGAATCTGGAAAGTTCTCATTAATAACAAACATTAGTTAGAAAAAAGGAAACAAACACAAAAGCATGTTTAGTTCTTTGTCATGCCATAACTAGCTAATGCCTCATAAACCATATAAGGCAACATATAAAAAAGGAAAGGCACTCCAATCTAGTGTTGGTTACCTGATTCAGAGATGGAGTGATAGCACTGATTATAAGACTCCAGCCAACTTTAAATCCCCAGTAGTGCATATTTTTGTGTTGAGATTACTGTATATGGACCCCAACAGACACACGGACACTCACTCCTAATTCTCCTATACTATTCTCATTTACATTCAAGCAAGATAAAAAAAAAAAAAAAACTTCTAGAAAATTAGGGTGAAAGCTGGAGGATGCTCAAGGACACATTCTATCCTGAAGACACTTCCTTATAACCAAAGAAAAAGAACCATAAAGAAAGGAAGACTCCTCATATCAGCAACCACTTAAAATTTTAGTTTTCACGGGGCTGGGGATTTAGCTCAGCGGCATAAGCCCCTGCCTTGCAAGCAGGCGGTCGTGAGTTCAATCCCCGGTAACAATTAAAAAAAAAAGAAAAAAGAAAAAAATTTTAGTTTTCATATATTCTGTCCATACCGCCCCCAAAAAATCAAGAGTAGATAAGAATTAATCCAGAAGCTAACAAATGTACTAGGAAATTGGGTAGGTTGTGCTGACCTCAATTGTAGACCATAGGTTATTAACACTAACATTTGTTGACAGAAAGCGTAACTGACAGATTTCACTCTTAAAAAGAATTTTAAAACGAAAAACAAAGTCATAGAAAAAATTTCCAGAAAAGGAAAAGGAAAAGGAACATCCAGTGAAATTTTCAAAGAAAGTGCTCACTAGATATGGTGACAGAGATAAGAATCTGAAAATCATTTGACATCCACTCTAGTGTACAAGAATACAGGGCGTCTATGAAACAAGATTGATGAAAACGCAAAAGGATAAGATGAAAAGACAAGGATGCAAATGAAAAAAGTAACTGAGTAAGACAAAGAAAAACTTACACAAGGAAAATAAGTCAATATGAAGAAATATGTTTGGTTTGCAACCAGGAATACAAGAAAATAGAGTTCAAATTAAAAAATATTTAAGATTGGAAGAGGCAACCATTTCTTAACCCAAAACAAACATAAAAGAAGGCCTCTGAAGGAACAACTGATTAAAACTCAACTTGCATAAGTATCAAATAAAAAAATACATCCATCATACCTGATAGTAAAAATGAAGCATAGACTAACACAGCACACAATAAATTCTTTTGAGGGGGATAAAATGGTTCAGGAAAGAAAATACAGATGTTAATTCTCCAATTAAAGTTTAATAAAACTAAGATGCTCTCAAATAGGGAAAGAAATATGTACTAAGGTTAAAAAAAAAAAGACAAAAATTTAAGAAGTATGTCTAGCAAACATTACAAGACAGGCTACTGACGCTGGAAACTGAAGTCAAATAGTTAAGAAACCAACAAAACTTTTCTGAGTTACACTAAAACTACCAGTCTTGATTAAAAAGAGGACTATAAAGGGTGATTACTATATAGGTAAATGTTTAAATTTTTAAAAAATGCATTACAGTAAAAGATACATTATTGAAAAGTCAGCGCCTCCTGAGAATCTGCTATGCTGGGGCTGGGAGACCACCAAGAAGCCAACTGGTCAGCCTTTCTGGTAAGCTGCGTAAGCCATATACAGTCTAGGAAGAGAAAGTCAGCACTTCCTGAGAATCAACAATGCTGGGACTGGGAGGGGCCACCAAGAAGCCATCTAGCCAGCCTTTCTGGGAACCATGCAAGCCACACAAGGTTCAGGAAGAGAAAAGTCAAACAGTGCCACCTATAAGCCTACTGGTGCACAGGCTGAGAATCAACCCCACCCCAACCCGCCCAAGCAATCAGCTGGTTTGAAGTTCGGACAGGCTGAGTTGATAGCAACTAAGGTATAAAAAGCAAGTAAATGCCTGTATTGTTTGGTTGATTTTGCAGGACTGGGACCAGTGGTCTGAGCATCTATTGGGATGATAACAGTATGCAAAATAGCAAATATGAGGGATTTCCTTCTATCTTGTCTTTGTAATCCAACATTGTTCTCACTGTTTTGCTTTGTTCTGATTGTTTTTGCTTTATTCAATATTGTTTTGGTTGGTTTTATTCTGTTTTGTTTTGGTTTGGTTTGATTTTGCTATGCCTGATGGAATGGACAACTATTAGGGAGATCACAAGATATACTATGGTGGCTACTACTGTTTTCCTAGTATCCTGCTTTGAAGTTCTGTACCAATTTTGCTGCTTTGTTTTGATTGGCTCTGTTCTGTTTTGTTAAATGTTATTATTTTTAAAATTTAAAAAAAAGACACATTGAGGGGCTGGGGGTTTAGCTCAGCGGCATAAGCACCTGCCTTGCAAGCAGGCGGTCGTGAGTTCGATCCCCGGTACCGATAAAAATGAAAAAGACAAAAAAAAAAAAAAAAAAAAAAGACACATTGCCATTATCCTCCTTAAAATATTCCCCGCCAATTCAAGCACATACGCCATCACTCTTTGGTGAAGTAGATCTGGCAGTCTCTTTTGTGGGTGTCTTTACAAAGTGTGATCAGAAAAAAAGTTGTAGGTTAGAAATATAATTCAGTGGCAGAATATTTACTTAGTATGAGTAAGGCCCAGGATTTGATCCTCATACCAACAGAAAAAAAAAAGTTTGAATATTGCTGCCAAATGTCATCCAACAGAAAGGCAAGATAGTAAGAACAGTGTGTCCTCACCCTCCTTACTCACCAGAGCTAGCACCTTATGACTTCTGGCTCTTCCTCAAAGTCAAAATAACCATGAAAGGTAAACATTTTGAAGTGATTCAGGACATCAAGGTAGCCAAGACAGCACAACTAAAGACACAAAAGATTTCCAAACAGTGGCAAGAATGATAGTATAGAAGTGTTTTAGAAGAGGGAGTATTTTGAGAGTGATCAATGGCAATCAATATGTCTTTTACTGAAATGAATTTTTTAAATTTAAACATCTGCTGTAGTTTTCTAACACACCCCACATGATGACTGAACATTTAAAACCACCACTGGATATCAATTTTCTACAGACAAGAAGCTAACAGCAAAAACTGCTCAGTCCCCAAGAAGGGTCTCTTCCCCACTGCCCAACTTAATTATACCAGCTGCACTGGAAAAAGAAGAAATTCTAAAAGCCTGGTGATATACCTCAGTGGCAGAGCACTTATCTATGATGCACAACGACCTGGATTTGATCCCCAGTACTATAAATGAAGACAGGGAGGGAAAGAGGGAAGGAAGAAGGAGGAAAGTAGTAGCAGAAGAGGAACAAACAGTCAAGCCTTGCTGCTATAACTCTGGGACTGCTGTACACTCCTCTTCCCTTTCTTGAATTTGACTATTATATGGAGACTCTTGCCTGTCCCCTTGAGCTACTGAGCTTTGAGCTTGATGCTATGATTAAATGGAGCAGTTTGAGCTATTGTCTTCGGGGATGATGACTGATTCTGCTGTAGTAAAAAAGAGAGTTGAACCTAGAGTAAACAAAAGAAAACCATGGAATCATCAGTGGTGTTTACCACCTCTACTTTATGGAGACAAAACAAACCAGCTTCCTGCCCTTCAAGTAGTTAGGTGTGGCCATGTCACTTGCTTTCCTCATTATGTAAGAGGACATTAGAGTGTTACAACAAGTAGTCTTCAGGGCCTAGAGATAGCCCCTTTGAAAAGTGTTCCTCTTCTAACATACAGAAACAGCCTTTTAATAGGATACAAATTTCTACCATCTATTCATATCTGGCCACAAAATAAAGAATAAACATGGAAATCACATAAGGAGTTCTGATAAACCATTCTTGAGACCCAGAAACCTGGATTAATTTTTATGAAAACCAGACCAACCCAAGTGACATGGAAGAAAATTTTTGTTTTGGTTTGCTTTGGTTTTTTAATGTAGGTGCTAGGAATTAAATCCAAGGCTTCACTCATGCTATTTATGCAAGTGCTGTACTACTGAGCTACCTCTATTGCCCAAGAATCTCTTTTCAATGCAAGTAGTTTGTCTAGAAGTTATTATAAAATGAAGTGGCCTGAACTTGGATGCTAAGTCCACCGTGTTAAAGACTTGGTAACCATCCAAATGCTGGAATACAGCATTGTGAGGATGACAAGAAGAAGCGAGGTTGGGTCCACTGGACCCAGGAAAACTCTGAAGTACAAATTCAAGCCTACAAAGAGAGTTAAAAACTTCAGTGGAGAAGAAAGTGATAGACAGTGGTGCCTTCTTCCTGAGACAGGACTCATTGTGTGAGAGGAGCTGTTCAAACCTGGGGACACAAAGTCACAGTGAGAAGGTGGCTGGGGACCCTGGAGGCCTTTGCAGAGAGATACATGGCAGTGGAGGAAGTGGCAGAAGTGAGGGGTGGCACTGCTGGTCCTGGTATCCCATGACTGAGACAGACGAAGGTCTCAGAAAATATGGTGGCACAGTGCCAAAGAACAAGAACTAGGCCAAACAAGCAACAACTTCTCATTTCCAACAAACTGAAGAAGTAAGATCTTCCAACAGACACAAAACCCAACAACCAGCTATACCTGGAAGATATCTCGGAGAAGTAGTCATCACGTAAGGGTCCTAAATACTAGCAACAAAGCAACCTACCATGGGCAACTTATG